GCACCCTCACTCACCCACTCCTTCCCCATATGCCCCTGTGACCCCACTCCCTCCATGTGTCCCTGCACACACCTTCCTTCCTATGTGTCCCTGCACCTTCTTTCCCCTGTCCCCCTGTGTCCTTGCACCCCAAATCCCATTCAGCCCCAGTCTGTTCCCCCCAGCCCTTTTGAACCCGAGTCTGACCCTCCCCCTGTAACCCCATGCTGTCTCTCCCACCATATCCCATGCCTCCTGACCTGGCCCCACAGGCAGGGTGCTGTGAGGAATGCAGCCTCTTTCTCTTTCCTGTCCTCAGCTGGGGCTACTCCTGCCTGGGAGTGGCTGCTCTGTTCTGGTGCAACAGTGGCTCCTGATGGGTGAAAGGAGTAACTGCAGCACCTTTCTGGCAGAATGTATTTTCTGTGGAAAAAAAATCTGCGTGGCACATGAATTCAGTGCATCCGCAGTGGCGCAGAATTCCCCCAGGAGTAAATATAGCACAAGACGCTTGTATTACTAAAGATAATGAGACCCTGACCGTGAGCTTAAAATCTGGGTTCTTATCAATAGTAGGACTTCCTGTGGGTATAAGAGTGTTTTGCTTGGTGGGGAAGGAGGAGAAGTATTCACTAAAACTTATAAAAGGATGCAGTAACATATATTCTGGTTAACAATACCATTCAGATAGGTGTTGAAGCTTTTGGTTTTACAGCAGAATATGTTAATGGTTGGGAATCCCCTTGAAAGGGGCAGGGATGAGGCTAGCATATATGCTCCTGTGAACTAAGCATGGGGTTGGGCAACTGGAGACCTGGATTTTATTTCTGACTGCCACTGAGGTGCAGTGATACTGGGGGGAAGTCACTTAGGATGTGTCTTCACTGCAAAGAAAACCCATAACCTTAGCAGCCAGTCCTGGAGTGTGAATCAAGTGATTTGGGCTTATACTATGTAGGTAAAAATAGCTATGTAGATATTCCCACCGAGGCTCTGAGACCCATCCCCTTCACCAGGTTTCAGAGCCCAAGCGGGAATATGTACACAGCTATTTTGTACCCCCATAGCATGAGCCCAAGTCAGTTGACCCAGCTGTTGGGGTTGTGTTTTTTTTGTTTTTTGTAGTGTAGACATACTTTTAGCATCTGTTACCATGATCTTGCAACGCTTACATGGGTGTGTATGTGTTTGCAGAATTGGGGCCAATGTGCCTCAGTATCCTCCTTTGTAAAACCATTGAAAAGCGCTTTGAGATTTATCAATGATAAGTGCAAAGTCTTATGATCCTTGCAGATCTTACAGCATTGTATACCCTTTCAGTCTTTGAAAAAGAAAAAAGTTTTACGTGCAAAACTGGTATAGTTAAAGCAGCAAAACCCCAACAAAGTGGAAGTAATTATACCAGTATAGCTTATAACTGCATGGGAAACAAGTACAGCAATTAGCATTTCTTTTTAGGTATCTGAACTGAGGTTATTTTTAAAGACAATTTTAAAGTTCACTAAGCAAGGCTTCCTTCTGTCACTTTTTGTTCTTAATCATTTGGCATGCTGCAATATAATTAAAAATATTAACATTCAGGTTTGGCTGTACTGTGCTATTATAGTGGTTGGAGAGAAATATTTCTTGGAACATGTTTAAAATAAAATGATCAACTGTCTTTACATAGGTAGATGCCAGTATGGGCCTTAAAACCATCTGGAAGGACTACAAAGTTTTGATTGTTATGGGAACTAGCCTTGGGCTGATACACTGGGGGTGGTTTAACATCAAGTCCAATTCTATGTTCCAAACAAAAAGAGAGGATTATGTACCAGAACCTGGCATTGTGACATATGTGATGCAACATGAAAGTCAAAAAAAAGGAAAATAACAGTAGTACTATATATAAAAGGTAAGTTCCCTACTTAGCCAGACTGAAATACTTAATGTAGTATATAATTCATGTGATAATCAATTTTCTAACCATTATGATCTTGTTATAGAAAACCTTTTAGCCTTTTCTGTTTAATTTTTCTGAAAGTGAGTTAACCCTACCATTATGTACTGAATACACCACATAGCAGGAGTTAGAAGGCAATTCAGTACATAAATTACTCTATACCTTTTTCTTGTGTACAGCTCCCATTCTGCTATTACACTCCAAAATCCATCAGTCTTTGTTTTCAAAACTGCAGCTAAATCCTGCTAGACTATAAGTGTTCAGCTAAGTGATTTTTATTATATGGCTTCAAGTTATTTTATTATCTTAAAAAGGCTTTTCAAGTCCATCTAATAAACGTATGCAAATCCAAGAGGGTCAACTCTACCAACAAACATGGCTGTCACATTGTAACTTCATAAAATTATGTGTTATGCAAGTTACAGTAGAATAGAGCTAGCCATTAGTACTTTGGAGGAAGATGAAGACCAAACAAATATGTTTAGAAAAACTTGTGCAGAAGATGTCTAGATAACATAGTGATGTTATATAAAAGCATAGGTAGGTATAGATACTATTGTTTTTAAGGACTTTTGGCACATAACTAAAGCACTTCATTGTTTCTGAAAAACTTTATAAGTCACCTTTAACTATAAACCCAGATATATAGGGTAAAATCTTGGTTTAATGAAGTTAATGGTAAAACTCCCATTGACTACAATGAGGCCAGGATTCCCCACTCATAGAATCAGTCCTTTCCCACTCCAGAATAGTATTTAAATTCTTACTAAGTAGGAATAAGTGAGAGATACTATTAAAGAAGTAACATTATCAGTGTTGTTATCTTAGTGATAATTAAATGTTTTAAAATGAATGTATCACTTAATCTCAACTCACAGCACAGTATATTTAAAATCCATATATTTAACATCTTGCGCAACAATTTAATTATAAAAACAACAAGGAGTCCAGTGGCACCTTAAAGACTAACAGATTTATTTGGGCATAAGCTTTCATGGGTAAAAAACCTCACTTCTTCAGATGCACGAAAGCTTATGCCCAAATAAATGTTAGTCTTTAAGGTGCCACCGGACTCCTTGTTATTTTTGTGGATACAGACTAACACGGCTACCTCCTGATACTTGACACCAATTTAATTACATAATTTTAGTCTGAATTATTTTTATTACTGGCTTGGTATTTTGTTTTCCACCAGTTTGATGTGATTTAAGGATTTAAACATGTCTTGAACAAGGTTTCAGAAGTGTAAGCCACTGAGTGCTAAAATGGTGGATGATTACAATAGCTCAAAGAATATTAATTTTAAATTTAAAAATAACCTCTTTAAACTTTGAAGTATTTAGAAGTGAGCTGAGAAAAGTGTGTAAATTTAAACATGTCAAGACGTCACAGGGCTACAAGTTAAAGGGCCATTCTATGCCCCCCGCCCCCATAAAAAAGGGAATGAGTTCCTAGACTTCTGAACACAAGAAATCATTTTGTTTTGAAGTGATTGCACATGCAGGGAGGTTGGTATTAATGCACTAGCTTCTTATCTGTATAGATCTAAAGTAAAATGAGGTTATCAAAACCAATATAGACTCATATTTTCACACAATCTGTTATAGTTGGTAAGGGCCTGCTCTTTGAAGACTTGGGTAAAATGGCATGGATATTACAAGTCATCATTGAAGAGGTTAACTGGCAGAAATGCGTGTGTTTGAGCAGTGCCTTCCCACACTATATTTAACTGTAGCAGGTTTTCTCATCTTAGTTAAAAAGTAGGGCTTTCGAATAATTGAAGTTAACTAAAAAAAATTAATTGCAATTAAAAAAATTAATCGCAGTTTTAATTACACAGTTAAACAATAGAATACTAATTGAAATTTATTACATATTTTGGATGTTTTTCTATATTTTCATATGTATTGTATTCTGTGTTGTAATTGAAATCAGTGTATATTATTATTATAAATATTTGCACTGTAAAAATGATAAACACAAAAAATAATATTTTTCAGTTCACCTCATACAAGTATTGTAGAGCAGTCTCTTTGTCCTGAAAGTGCAACTTACAAATGTAGAATTTTTGTTACATAACTGCACTCAAAAACAAAACTGTGTAAAACTTCAGAGCCTACAAGTCCACTCGGTCCTACTTCTTGTTCAGCCAATTGCTAAGACAAACAAATTTGTTTAATTTACAGGATATAATGCTGCCCTCTTTGTATTTACAGTGTCACCAGAAAGTGAGAGCTGGCATTGCAAAGTATTTACATGCCAGATATGCTAAACATTTGTATGCCCCTTAATGCTTCGGCCACCATTCCAGAGGACATGCTTCCATGTTGATGACGCTCATTAAAAAAATGTTAATTAAATTTGTGACTGAACTCCTTGGGGGAGAATTGTGTGTCCCCTGCTCTGTTTTACCCGCATTCTGCCATATATTTCATGTTATAGCAGTCTTGGATGATGACCCAGCACATGTTGACAGTCCTATTAAAAAGTACTACAGTTAAGTGTTTGTGTGTGCACGCAAACACACTGTGTTTGGGGAAAAATAAAGGTGCCAAATTAGTGGTCTTGCCTTAAATCAATGCTGATTTGCTCAGTTGTTGACTATTGACATAGATACAATCTGATTTCTCAGAAGAGACAGTCAGAGTCACTATACAATATATTGTATAAAAGGTTATACTAATATCCTGTTACTTCTTTATTGTAGGTATAATTAACCTTGAAAGTTTGCATCTGCAATCTTACCATCAAAAGAAAAGATGAGAAAAACTAGCTGGATTAAAAAGAACTGGCTGCTTGTGGCAGGACTTTCATTTCTGGGTGTCCATCTTGGTACATATTTTATACAAAGAGCTGCAAAGAACTCTGCTAAATCAGCCTTGGAAATTAAGCAAAAAGATCTTGGAGAATGAAGTAATTTTCTGCAATCATCACATATTAATTTATCACATATAGTTGTATAATTTGTTAAATATTAAACTATGAACAGCTACATGAACATAATTGTCATTCTGTATGCAAGGTTTCTCTTTTATAATGTGCTTGGATACAAAGGGTAAAAAAAATACGTCTGTGGATTCAAGGAAAATGGAATAAACTTGAAATTTTGTTGGTCAGAATGAAAATCTTGTCTTGAAGATGTCTCGCACTGAAGCTAAAAAGCCTTCATTGTGTACTAATGACCCTCTAACTAAAGAGAGAGTTAGTTTCTCTCTGTCTGTGTTAAGTGGAATAGTAAAGTCTTGCTATGGCCCTACTGGTAGACTCAAACAGCTCCACAATGGTATGGGAGGCTATGTTCGCACAACTTCACAATCTTCTGCCTTGCTTGGTGGCCTTTCTATCACCCATCCAGTATTAAAGGTTCTGACAGCCTCTGTACAGAATCATATATCACGCTTCAGCGACTGTGGCTTATTTACAGCCATTCTTTGCTGCAGCTTGGTTGAAAATTTTCAAAGAATAAACTTTGCGGCCTGTACTGTCACTAAAATAAGTAGACATCTTTTGAGCTTATGTACTGACTATCTCAAGTCTGAGGCCTGTGGTTGCCGAATATCGGTGGATTTTGACAATATTAAGACTCTTCTTTCTTTGGTACATAGCATATTAGCAAGCAAACCTGCCTGCATGCTTAACAAAACAGAAGCCAATCACCTCAGCACATTGGTTTTAAGGGCTTTTTTGCTTACAATTCCGCATACCATTGAAACTAATGTTGTTTTAGGAACGTGTGTAATTGTTCCTGTGAAAGATAAAAGAGTTATGGATTCTACTGTATTTCCTGGACTACTAATAGAAATACCAGAATTTCAATTGGCACGAACGTTTCCTGTCAAAAGAGTTTCTTCAAGCACTATCAAGATGGCACTCTTCTGTATCTCTATGTCAGGAGACCTTTCCAATACTGGAGAAGGAACTGTAATTGTCCATCATGGAATTTCTCTAGAAGTAGCAGTATTGGATCAGTTGCTTAATTTAGGAAAGCAGTTGGTTAATGACCAAGTAGGCCTTGTAGTGTGCCAGAAAGTTATCCACCCATCTTTGAAACAATACCTGAAAGAGCACCATGTCATCACTATAGACAGAGTTGGAGTATCTATGATGGAGCCCCTGAGTAAAATGACAGGTAATAAATGAACTTTGTACATGGCACCCATAACATTAGTCTCAAAGGAAACAGAAATGTCACAAAGTAAGATTGTAATCCATCTTTCCTGTATCTGAGATGGATGTAGCCATTGTTGTATCTTATGTATCATAAATTTGCTAAGATTGAATAGTGTACTGTTTGAAATCCAACAAACTAGAATCTCATGATATACATCTTTATTTAAAACTCTTTGGTAAAGAGAGCTCGATCCTGCCTTTACACATGTGGCCATATCCTATAAGTTTTCATAAAAGTCATTACTGCATGTGTCTACACAAGCACAATAACTGATATTTACAAGACAATTACCCACTCTGTTACCTAGAGCAGATAGAATCAAGCTCTAAACCCTGTGTTTATATAACATTAAATGATAATGGAGAATTTAATTATTTGGTATAAAAACTCTATGTATAGCTCATAATATACTGTAAAATAGAAACCACTTAAAAAAAATTCCACTGGCAAGTAATTCTTTATCAAGGAAATAAAAGTCGTACGGCTCATGATCCAAGATGCGCTAATCATTCCTGAAAAGCATGGCTAGATGGTTACAATAGTTAAGTATGTTTTGTGAAATACCGAGACTAGAAATGGTGAGGTTTGCTAGTGAAAAGTGAGAAGAATCTCATCTTTCTAAATATATGTATAGAAATTGCTCCTAGTCATTTGTGGTGTTGATTTCAGATCACAGAATGACATTCCAATTACTATTTTCCTTTCCTCTCCACTTCAGGTTCAAAAATTTTAGTGTCATGATACCTGTGACAACAGTTATAGGTAGAAAACACTGCTGTACATTTATACAGTACTATTTGAAAATGTAGGACCTAGCTTCAGATGGTAAAACCTTAAATTCAGCTGCTATAATGTCAGAGTTGTGAGTAGAATTGAAGTGTGTCTGTGTGTGTTCAAGGACGGGGAAGAAGGAACGTAAGAATTATATGATTAGAGTCTAATATGTCAGGACTTGCCATCCTTAGAAAAGCTTTGAAATAATGCAGACTTTTTCAGGATTAGTTAACTTTCAAAGTACTTTAATCCTGAACCAGTGATTGGAAAAAGTTACAGACAGAACCCAAATTCTTTCTGTTTTGCTAGATACAGTAAGAGCTGTGCTCTTAGTACTCATTAACTTTTAAGATTTCTCGTGTTCCTTTGCTTTTATGAACCAGTAGCTGTTTTCCTGGCTAAAAATAGGACAGTCTCAGGAAATAAGACTTTAATTAATATAAAAATGGCATCGCCAAATACACTCCATTACTACAGTCAAGATTGAAAATAATATCTTCACGTTTTTTGTAACCATCAAATATCTCCCCCTCTGTTTTTAGTTAATCAAATGCCAAAAGTTTGCATACCAAGCATAGTGGTTATCTGGTGCTACTGAGCAGATGTTTTTGATGTTCTACAAAATGGTGGCTTTCCTCATCAGTTTAAACATCTAGGTACTTTAATACACTCATCTCTAGTATCAGCATAAGTCTAGAAGCTTCCTTCACTAAGTTATAACAACTTTAGGCTAGGTCAGATTTGGGCCCAATATTTGTGTGCCACTATTCATAAAGAATTAAATAGGGATTCTGTTATGAAGAGCCATAATCTGGTAATGGTAAGGCAGAAGGCACAAAGTTACAATGGGAAAATGTCTAAAGTAATGCTTTCATTATTTTAAGTCAAATGTCATTTGTTTTACAAAAAAGTTTATACCTATTTAATAGGTCCAACTCATTTTAAACTACTATCCCAGTTGAAGTCTTAGTTCATGTGCATATGTTGTAACTTGAGTTCCTGTTTTCTTTTAATCTCTGCTGCAGCCAGTTCTTGGCAGTTCTTGAGTTTTTCATTGAAGTTGGTTCAGCTATTTTGCTATAACTTTCCAACATACAAAACCCTCAAGCGGGCAAGTCATTGGATCTTTTAAGAGAATGAAATATATGACTATCATAAAGATGAAACCTTTAATGAGGAAACAGATTTAAAATTATTTCTATTTGGCCAAAAAAAAAGGGGGGGGGGTAAAGATTCAGAAAAAATTATATTCCCAGACAACTTTGGTAAAGTCAAGTTAAAGGTAATCATTTTTTCTCCTTAAATACAATATTTATAAAGTTTTAATTAAAAGTTTGAAAACTAAGAAGTTGTGTTATAATTTTAAATCTCTTTGCTTGCCATTCTGTGCAGCAGAAATTCTTTTTCTCCAGTCTTTTCAATCTACCTTTCCAATCTGAGCAAGACATGTCACCAGTGAAACTAGCAGCGCATGGCCACAGCTGAATGGAAACCAGATTTTTCAAACATCAATGGAAACCTTTTCTGGCCAGCTCTACAGCTGACACATGGATGCTGCTTACAGCACTCAGGGCTAGAGTCCCATGGTAAACATTGCTTACCGATGCAAACATTTTAAATTGCCTAATCTAAATAATAAAATTCCTACTTTTACAATGAACTAGTACCAGAAGCTATATTTTCAAAGCACTGTACTGGTTTGTGTCTGCCTGACTTCCATCATAGTTTGAAAATTTACATGTATATGTCTTGAAAAGCATTTGTAACTTTAAAATATAAACAAAACAACCTTTCAGTCCATGTTCTACAAAACACAGTAGACAGCTATTCTGATAAGATAATAGATGCTGTTCTTTGCTTTTTCTTAATTGTACAGGTTCACAGCCCATTGCTGCCCTACATTCTGTATCTCCTACTTGTTATGGCAGTCTGAAGGACTTGCGCACTGAGAGTTTTGTTTCAAAACATTTCTTGCATCTAATTCCTAATGACACACTTGTCTGCAGCTTGATACTCTGTAACAGAAGTGAAATGGCATGGGATGAGCTGAAGGTAGGCAAAGTTTTTCAAAATATCTAATAAAAATGCATACTCTTCTGGAGGGAGAAGGTTGGGAGAGGATTGTGTGAGGAAAGGTTTATTAACCGTTTCAGTCACTATAACCAGAAGACTTTTCCTTGATCACCAGCCCATCTCAGAAACAAAGAATTTTTTCCACACCATTTTGCACAGTTATTTCTCCCCCTTTTTAGAGGCCACCCCTGTGGAAAGAAATGGAGGATGTTATTTCACTTTTTCTCAGTTGTGTGAGAAAAGTTTCAGGGTCACTGCTGACCCTTCACTTGGCAACACTCACACTTGAGTAATTTAGATAGTTAAAGTGTGGTTCTATGCTGACATGGGGCTCCATGTTTGTAACTGATTGAAACTTAGTAAATAATTTTGATTATGCAAAATGAGGAACAGAACCCAGCGCTCTTGGCTGTGATCTGTAATGTTAAGAGCGTGAATACCAAAAGCTTGTTTGTTCGCTCTAAGCAGCTATGATACTGAAATCACCCAGAGCAGATCTGTGAGTAAGCATGTGCCATCTGTACATTTACACTTCTTAGAGAAGAACTGCACTTTAAAAGTATATCCTAAAAAGTAAAATTTTTAAACCTTTTTAAAACAAGATTTTTTTCTGCTTTAGTGATATATGCAATAACAAATTTTTCTTGCTCTTCAGCTTGCGTGTCAGACTGCAGAACATGTCTTACAACTAACAATCAAGCAACCATTGGCACTGTTAGGAGGTGGCTGTACAGAAACTCATTTGGCCTCATACATAAGACACAAGGTATGTAAGGCCTTGAGAGGATATTTAAAGCTGCTTAATTCACTTAAGATGACAAGGAATTTAGTTTATATGGGATTACGAACAGAGTTGAAACATCTCACTTGTCCTTAGCAGATTCAGTTGACATTAAGTGTTGCATTTTATTCTCCAAAGAATGACTAATATAAAATGAAACTGTATGAGATTTTAATGTGCTGATAAATATCTGCCTCAGGACTTATTGCATAAGAAATACTGCATTTATATTCTTTAACAGCTCTTCGGATTTCCATTTACCATAGCAAAAGTTCATTCATTTTATTCCTAGAATATTTAATTGAAAACAAGAAGTGTATAGAATTATTTTGTCTTGAATGCTAATAAGGATAAGACTTTTTTGGCTTTGATTTTACTTGTGGGAAACCTTTGATATTTGAATTGTGCCATCACATTAATAATTTTTCCTCAGTTAAAAATGTTAACTTGGACTACTTGTTAAAAACAAAAACAACAAGGAGTCCGGTGGCGCCTTAAAGACTAACAGATTTATTTGGGCATAAGGTTTCATGGGTAAAAAACCCGCTTCTTCAGATGTGTGGAGTGACAATTACAAATACAGGCATAAATATATATTGGCACATGAAGAGAAGGGAGTTACCTTACAAGTGGAGAACCAATGTTGAAGACCAATTTAGTCAGGGTGGATGTAGTCCACTCCCAATAATTGATGAGGAGGTGTTAATACCAAGAGAGGGGAAATTGCTTTTATTAAAAACAGTAAAGCTGTTATCCAATAGTTTGGTAGGAGACTATTTTGCGTGTGCTCAATAATAAATAAGATGTTTACTAGTTTGTTTTCCAGTTTGTGCAAAGTACACATATTTACAGTTGTCTAATGATTTTTATTATTTTATCTTTTTAGAGTTTTACCCTTCCTACTAATGTTTTGAAAGCTATAGATTGTTCTCGGACACAATACCAGTTGGTTGCTGATGCCTTTTGCCGCTCGCTGGAGTGTGTAGCTTGCTGCCTGGAGCACGATGATGGTGAAATTCTTACTGATATGGTTTATGGACATTCTTGGTCTATTCAATCAGGTTTTCCCTGTGATTGTAACTGGTCAGATTTAGTTTTGAAGTGTGGTTGTGGGATTTACAATAACCAGCAGAATCTCAATTGGACAGTTTTACGAAGCCAATGTATCCCTTTTGCTCCACAAAGCTGCTCTAATGAGCCTTCTATAAACTCCACTGACCATCTTATACTGGACTGTTTTACTGCAAAATATAGTGGTCTGCAAGTGGCAGTGGAGACAGCCAATCTGATTTTGGATTTGTCATATATAGTTGAAGATCAAAATTAGTTTAGTTTTCATCTCCATTATTTTGAACTTCATATTTATTTGAAAAAGTTCCAAAGCAGCATAAATAATATACTAAGAGGCTACTATGCAGGAACAGAGTCTATAAACAGAATTTTAATGTCAAGCATAGTTGCTCATTAAGCTACTTGTCTGATTCCTACTCCACTTCAGTTGTTATAGACATTTGCAATTATATTTAACATTTTGTTAGAAAAACTAAACATTAATAGTCTAGTGTGCACTCAGGGTACGTCTTCAATCGATTTATCCGGGATCAATATATCGCGTCTCGTTAAGACGCGGTATATCGATCCCCGAACGCGCTCACCGTTGACTCCGGAACTCCACCAGAGCGAGCGGCGGTAGCGCAGTCGACGGGGAAGCCGCGGCCGTCGATCCCGCGCCGTGTGGACCCCAGGTAATTCGATCCAAGATACTTCGACTTCAGCTACGCTATTCGCGTAGCTGAAGTTGCATATCTTGGATCGATCCCCCCTTCCCCCCCCCCCCAGTGTAGACCAGCCCTCAGACATAACCAAATCTTAGTAACACATGATTGAGAATTCAGACTATAATGTATTCTATCCATTCAAACAATATATGCAAATATGTGTTACTACACACACACACACAAAACTACATTAAAGGAAGAGGAAGGTTGCAAAATAAAGCACTCAAAAGTTAGGAAGTGCCAGAATTAAGGTTGCCTGTGCAACCTTAATACAGCCTCCTTGTGTGTATGCAGTATGATTCAGTCTTTAATTATCTAATCACATTGTACTTTTTCCACAAGACCCCTGACTCATTCAGTCCACAGAATGGCCAGTGCTGACTGAGTGAGCAGCTATTCAATATTTTATTATATTCTCATGTGACCCCATATTTTATTTACTTCGTACTATTCAAACCATGCTCTGAAGACAGAATTATTAATTTCTTCATGAGCTTTTGTATGGCTCTCTTCTCTGTAGTATCTGAGTGCTTCATAAACATTAATTTATTCTCGTAATACTCCTGTGAGATGAGGAGCTGGTATCCCCATTTTATAGAGAGGGAACAGAGACACAGGAAGATTAAGGTAAAAGGTTTCCAATAATTTTGGGTGTCCAATTTGAGATGCTTAAGACCTGATTTTTCAAAATATTTAGAATGTTTTAGCACTTCATATATTAAAACCACAGCTTCCATTAACTTCACTTGCAGCTGAAAAGTGCTCAGCACTTCTGCAAATCAGACTACAGGGTCTCAAATCAGGCACCAAGAAAATACACAATTTATGACCATCTTTATGGGGGGGAGGGATAGCTCAGTGGTTTGAGCATTGGCCTGCTAAACCCAGGGTTGTGAGTTCAATCTTTGAGGGGGCCACTTAGGGATCTGGGGCAAAATTAGTACTTGGTCCTGCTAGTGAAGGCGGGGGGCTGGACTTGATGACCTTTCAAGGTCCCTTCCAGTTCTAGGAAATAGGATATCTCCATTAATTTAATTTAATTTAATTTAATTTAATTTGAAAAGCTTGGTTTAAGTGATTTGCCCAACATCATATAGAAACTCTTGTGACTGAGGCAGGGATAGAATCCAGTGCACAAGGGCAACTTTCAACTGCCTTGATCATGAGGCTACCCCTTTTCGTCCCACCTCATTCACTTCATACATTTCAATTTCTGTAACAAATGTAGAGGGAATATTGTATGGGACCCCTGCTGCATTTTCTTTGTACTGAACAGGCTACACACTCTACTGAGAACTAACAAAAATATAGTTCTCAGTGGAGTTTATAGCCCTTACTACCCCATGTCTCCCCACCCCACTCCTTACTCTCCCTGCTGGCCCTGAGAAGTGGGTGCTGAGATGTGCTGTTCGGCTTGTGGGGAGAGGGGGAGGAGCCCTTCTGCCACCTACATCCTATTTCTGCAAACACTGCAAATTGCTCACTCCATTTTATATTCTCTACCTCTATATAATCTGCAGTTGTCCCCCTCCATCATTCTCTAGCAGTGCCTCTATCCCGTTTTTAACCCCAGCTCCTATCCTCTGTCCCTGATTTTGCCTATCTGCCACCTCCTTACTCTGCCTCCACCTGTTTGACCACCCTACTCATAGTTTGCCCCCTGCATAAAAACACCAGTAGGTGTTATATAATACATAAAAGATTATACAAAAAAGCAAATATGAAAACATCACAGCTGACTAACTCAGGAGTTGCTACTTTTAGGCATGTGTGCTGGGATTGCATAGATGCCAGATATTTTCAAGCACAATTAGTGGCACAAAGTTTGATTGTTCTATGATAGTCAGTGTCTATTATTTTATTTCAGTTAGATAATGAACAGAAGTTTGCCTTTGTACTTGTTACTTAGCAGAGTCATTATTACAATCCAGTGAAAAACTCTATTACACCTATGTTGTGCAATTGGTTTGGTACAGTGAGGCATATCTATTATAGAAAAATGTTATGAATATGAAATATGGACTAAACAATACTTTGCTTCTGTTTATTAAGTGTGCTATATACGATATAGAGACAGGCAGGTCACCAATTTAACAATCCATTGTATCATTTTGATTTCCTATATAAAACTTAATACTTGGAACCCTGATTAGTGTATTTATTTGTTCTAACCCATCAGTAAACTTTCAAAGTTGTTGCGGGTTTTAGCTGTGCAGCTCTTAATAATAATGGGATTCACATAGTTAGGATTTAGTGCAGCTCTTTCAATATGTTCTTCAATTATATGCCATCTTCTCATTTATTTTCATAAATATTTCTTTTGTCATCATAAACATGTTTTTGAAGTTTCTGACTTTCACCATGACTTGTTTTCAGGACTTTTGTTGTAGTTTTATTATCTGCAAAAACAGAAGACTATTCTGGAGTTTTAGATGAGAAATCTTGTCCATTCAATACTTTCTAGGAAAAGCTTTGTTGGTTAAAGTAGCATCCTAGTATAATCTGGGAACATGGTGATCCTGGACCAGCGAATTCCAGTTTATTTGTGCATTGAACTAATTTAAAGACTGAGGTACATATTTATCTCTGTTTATATGGATGGAAGGTAAAAAGGTGCATAGAAATTAGCGATACACATGGAAATGGGGAGTAGCAGTTCCACATCATGGGGCAGATCCTCAGCTTGTATAAAACAATCAGAACTCCAGAAAGCTATGACAGTTTGCAGTACCTAAAGATCTCCCCCCGCCCTTCCCCCCAGAGTTTCTTTTAATCCTTCACTCTGAGATTAAACCCCAACTTCATGGTAATGCTACTTCCCGGGAGATGTCAGAATATGCAGCTACAGTGAAGAGGCAACAGGAGCATGGTTCAGAAGCTGGTCAGCCAATGGGGAGGGAAATACTAGCAGAGCACAGTAGTTGTGTTTGGAGATCTACAAGACTAGGGAGTGATTCTCACTGATCTCTACAGGCCACTGCTTCCACCTCTGCAGCATCACAAACCCTCTCTCACCCAGGATGGCTGAACTAGAGAAACAAACATAATCCTGTGTGGTTTTTAATTTTTTAATTCCTCCCCCTTCTGCAGCTATTTCTGTGAAGGGTACCCTTTGTTAGGGAGGAGGAGATCTGTACAAGAAATGAATATAGTACCATAAAATAACTTTGCTTTATTCATGTGGAGAAATTGGCCTTTTTCTGTTTAAGGAATTCTGAAATATCTAAATAAAATTTACCTGTCCCTTGCAAAAGAGATTCCCTCTGGAAGCAGCATGGAGCCAAACAATCCTGCTAAACACTCTAAAAAATGTAAATCCCCAGTGTGACACTGTACCCCATATTCTACACAGTGATATTATGATATGATTATGGCATAATTCTGATGTATTTTATGCTAGATCGGTCATGTGAGATCATTGGAAAGGTTATGATTTATTAATATAATTATCCTGTTTGTATGCATGTATCATTTTTGTATCTGAAGTTAGGAATATTGACTATGTATCTGTATCACAAATATGTTTACACCTGGGGAACGCCCACTAGGCAAACGACTGTCAGTCTAGATGGCTGACTGGGAAGGGCCCATTCAAGTTTATGAACCATTAGGGAAAAAACAATAGGTCTTAGAAGGAGCTTATTTCCCACCTGGGAAGATGAAGATGCTACAAACGGCCTCCGAGCAATGGTTGCTATGGCACTGCAGGGACATGTAACCAGCTCACCTGGTACTGCATTCCATCTTGGAATATCAGTGTTTTTCCACTGACTGGCGTGGGAACCAGGCTTTGAGACAAAGGGTTCCCGCCACATGCAAAAGCTATTTAAGGCAGGGGAGTGACATCTTGATTCTTCACTGATTCCCTGCCCCAAAGAGACTCTTGGAAACACCTGAGGAACAAGGACTGAACTGGGGAGAAGTGCTGGAACCAGGCTAAAGGGATTTTTCGCCCGTGAAAGGAACACCTGGGGTTTTTAAGCTGTAAACAAGTGCAGATGGCCCCTTAAGAATCTCTGCAGCCTGCTTGAATCATCATTTAGGGTGAGAATTTGCTACTCATTTCCAATCTCTTTAGTATATTAAGCTTAGTTTGTGTGTTTCGTTTGTTTGCTAGGTAATCTGCTTTGATCTGTTTGCTATCCCTTATAATCACGTAAAATCTATCTGTTGTAGTTAATAAACTTATTTTTCCTTTGTCTAAAACCAGTGTGTGGGAATCATAACTTGGGGCAGAAAGCTATTGCATATCCTTCTCCACACTGAAAGAGGGGGCAAATTTCATGAGCTTACGCTGTACACATCTCTGTGTGCAGTGCAAGATGGTATAATTTGGGGTTTACACTCCAGAGGGAGGTGTGCACTTGAGTAGCTGGGCAGTTCCTTCACTGTAGCCTCCCCATGCAGAGCTGATTACATCTGTATGTATTGCAACTGGGTATGTCCCTACTTATATGTGTGCTGGAGTCTGGGAGAGGGTTTGGCAGGCTGCTCACAGCAGTATAGTGTAAAGGGAGCCCAGGCTGGTGGGTCAGTGTGGCTCAGTGGTACCCCCGTTCCAGGTGGCACCCCGGGGGGAACCCATCACACCCAGAATCTATTTTTCTAGAATATCTCATGCTGACTCTACCTTCCAACTGCCTCCCAACACCGATCCCCCCTCTTTCTTTTCTTTTTTTAAAGAGCTGCTACACCTCTACCCCGATATAACGCTGTCCTCGGGAGCCAAAAAATCTTACTGCGTTATAGGTGAAACCGCGTTATATCGAACTTGCTTTGATCCGCCGGAGTGCCCCCTCGGAG